CAAGACAGTTTATGATTAGAATCTCTGTTTTTTTTCTTATACGAGGCGTTTACAGAAGGTTTCGTTTTTGTTGTTGTTGTTGTTGTTGTTGTTGTTGTTGTTGTTGTTGTTGTTGTTGTTGTTGTTGTTGTTGTTGTTGTTGTTGTTGTTGTCGTTGTCGTCGTCGTCGTCGCCATCGTCATGATCAGCATCTTCATGATCACCAATCCTCCATTCCCTCCTCCTCTTCCCCCTCCTCCTTTTACTTCTACTCCTCCTACTCCTTCCCTCCTCCTTCCATGCCTCGTTCTCATCCTCCACCCCCTCCCTTTTCCCTCTTTCTTCCCCGTCCCACTCATCCTCACTTTCCTTCTACCTTTCCTCTTCGTCTGCCTTCTAAAATTTCACTTATTCGGACACGGGTATGTCTCTTATTCGTGCTTTTCAATAATATTAATTTAATGAACAAAGAACCCTTTTTATATCTTTCTGTTGTCATTCTTTTCAAAATCTATCTTTCTCTCTTTCTTAGAATCATCTACAAAGTGTGAAGAGAGAAAATTGCTAGCCGCAGTATGTCCCCCGCCCCCCTCCCTTCTAAGCTGCCCACATCCATGCACACCCATTACCTGTCCACATTAATTTTTGTGTCTTTATTATTCCCTTTGTTCTCCCCCTCTTCCCCCCTCTCTTCTTCTTCTACCCATTCTACATCTTCCCTTAACCATCCTTCTCCCTCCCCCTCTTCTCCTCATCCACTTTCTCACACCATCTTCCTTTTCCTTCTTTTCACCTTCTCCTCATTCTCCTTCTCACTCTTTTTTCTTCTCTTTCTCCTCCGTCTTCCTCCTTCTCCTTTTCCCAAGCTTCCTCCTCAGCTACTAGTGGACGGGAAGAGGTTGGGGTTATAAGTCTTTTATCTGTGCTTTACTGTACTGTAATGTTTACAGAAGACGCCTTTTTCTTTTATCTTTCCTTTCTTTTTATCTTTCTTTCTCTTCTTCCCCAGCACCATCTACGGGGTGTGTAGAGAGAACATCGCTAGCCGCAGTATGTCCCTCCCGTCAAAGCCGCCCACACCCATGCACACCAACTTCCTGCCGGCCGACACAGAGCTACAGGACGAGAGAGACTACATCGACAGGCTTATGTTCCAGGACTACACGGGCGACAACTTCAACAAGATGATCATGCAGAATTTCTTTAAAGGTAAAGGAAACAAGGAAACAAGCACCCCATCGCTCATCCAATCAACAGAAACAGCAAGAGTAAGAGCAAAACAACAAATCAAACAGAAATAACAACGTTAACAACAATTACAACAGAATAACAGATAGAACAACAACAACAACAACAACAACAACAATAACAACAACAACAACAACAGCATCAACAACAACAGCAACGACAGTATTTCTCGTGATCGCGGATGGGTGCAACAGATCGGAGTTTAGCTGCCTTAACCCGTCGGCCACACACAAGTACACCCACATACACCCACCCCCCACCCCCCCACACAAACACACACACACACACGCACACCTCCACACACGCATACACACACACTCACACACACACATACACCTACACACGCGCATACACACATACACACACACATACACACACACACACACACACACACAGATACACACCTCCAAATGGAAGAAGAGATAGAAGAATACGAAGGAAGAGACAACAATGGGGCGACAATAAATAGTAATGAAGCTACTAATAAAAAATAACGACGATGGTGATAACAGTAGCAGTAACAAAAAAGAGACTCTGTTGCCATCTAAACTCGTGGGCAATGTGCACAGACAGACAGACAGACAGACAGACAGACAGACAGACAGACAGACAGACAGACAGACAGACAGACAGACAGACACACGCGCGCACACACACACAACGTGATAGTATCTGGACAAATAAGGTCAATTTCATCTCATCTCACCTCATGATGTTATCTTCTCTCACCACAGCTCGGAAACCCTGTAACATGGGTTACGGTATGCCCCGCCCCGAGACAAGAGAGGGCAGTGTCCAGAACCGCTTGTTCAGTCACCTGAGCCGTAAGCCCAGCGTCGTGCGAGTGCCGTCACATAGCAGTCTCTGCAAGCATGTCATGTGCGAGGTAAGATACTTCCTTTCTTTTTAATGGTTAAATGGTTTAGGTTAAACGCCTTTTTCAACACTGGTAGGTTATTTCAGAGGCGAAACCTCCCGTTTAACGTACATCCCCGAAAAGACCGAACCGGATAGGAATTTCGTGTAAAGCACCTTTCTCACGGATACAACGTCGAACCGAGAAGAGGCTCGACCCCCTCCCCCCTCCCAGTCCACAATCTCACGATTACGGGTCAGGCCGCCTGACAATTAAGCCACCGTCCGACGCCACGAGATAAGACCAGCCAGCGTTCTAACACTATTGGTGAGTGGTTTCCTATTGCTCTGGCTGAGAAGGACACAATATCAAGACAAAAAGACTCGGATACCTGGATACCAGGATGTGTCATCTCTGACCCAGAGGTTGACGTATAATGAATGACCCTCCGTCCTTCACGGTTACGAGCTGCCGTTGCACATTCTGCCATATCCAGGCCGGTCCATGTACTTACGTTGTCCATCCATGTTCTTACGTTGTCCATCCATGTTATTCTTTGTCTTTCTCTGGCTCTCCTGCCCGACATCTTTCCTTCAAGCTCCTCTTTCACAATGGTCTCGTGTTCCCTAAATACTAGATAAAAACTCTTCCCCTACACTTGAATTGAACTCGGGTCTCCTGTCTGTGACGGCTTAATGCCTCATCGTTACACTATGGATGTCGATGACGATGCTTTAACTTTTTCGTTAGTTAAAAGTCTCTTGTACCCCCTCGTTCGGAACTTAACCATACGTACAGAACCTCCTCTCTCTGTGGGGGTCACTTTTGAGTCGTTGTGACACCATACAAAGATATTTATGTATCTTTAATCAAAAAATAAATTTCAATGGCAATGCTTTTTAAATATTTTTTAAAATTCTGCAGTGATCTGTTTCATTTCCGTAGAGTCACAATGGTTGCAGTGGAGAGTTTTGTGAGATCCTCGGACCCGGATGTTGCTCCTCGTGCATCGAGACGACCAATCGAAGCATCGCTGAGGAGATTCAGAGGAGGCTGTTCCCTGAAATTGAGGCGAGTGGTTGTCTTTTTTTCTTCTTTTTAGTCGTAGTATGAGTTTTACAAAACGACATAAACGAATACATACAGATTAAAAGAGGAGTCAGACAGGGGTGTGTGCTTTTACAAGACTTGTTCTCCCTGTGTAGGGAAAATATCATGAGACACATGGAAGACATGCCGGGTATCTCGATAGTGGGGCATAACGTAAACAATCTAAGATATACTGACGACGCAGTCCTAATAGCAGAAGACGAAGAACACCTACAAGATCTATTTAATGTCATTGTACAAGAAAGTGTCACTCTCTTGAACTTTTACTTTTTACTTGTACTTTTTCATCCCCTGTTGCCGTTAAGCGTCGAGGGGAGATGCAGTTTTCTATCGTAGTCCAGCTCCGTAGCTCTTTCAGTTGGGATATTATGTTTTCTTAGGGTTTCCTTGACACCCTCGATCCACCTTTTGCATGGCCTTCCTCTTCCTCTAAGCCCGAGTGCTTGGTGTTGCAGGCTCTCGAGGCTGGCTGGTCAGGTGACATGCGTAACAGGTGACCAAACCATTTTATCCTCTGTCTTTCTATGAGTCCTGCCTGCGTTACCCAGCAAGGGCCTTAACCTATACATCAAGAAAACTGAAACAATGGTGATAAGCAGAAAAAACCCAACCTGCAATATCAAAATCATTGGTACCACCGTCAAGCAAATGCAACATCTTATAGATTTGGGGACTATTATATCTATCTATCTATCTATCTATCTATCTATCTATCTATCTATCTATCTATCTATCTATCTATCTATCCAATATATCTATCCATCTATCTATCTATCTATCTATCTATCTATCTATCTATCTATCTATCTATCTATCTATCTATCTATCTATCTATCTATCTATCTGTTTGGCTGTCTGTCTGTCTGTCTGTCTGTCTGTCTGTCTGTCTGTCTGTCTGTCTTTCCGTCCATCCCTCCCCCCTCTCTCTCTGTCTCTCTCTCTCTGTCTCTCTGTCTCTGTCTCTGTCTCTCTCTCTCTCTCTCTCTCTCTCTCTCTCTCTCTCTCTCTCCCCCCCCCCCTCTCTCTCTCTCTTTCCGTCTCTTTCATACAAGTATAAGTTCTTTCAAGAAGTGCAATACCGCCATTGTTCTCGCCTCTGAAATCTCTTCCAACACCACCACTCCTGTTTCACAGATCACAAAGAGCATCAACTAATTTAGCACTTATATGACCTGTGTCTCGACGTGGTGGAATCAGGCGCTCGTCAATTTTTGGGCATATGGGGTTATCGGTATAATTTTAAAGCCTGTTCATTTTCCTTCCTTTTGGAGAAAAAGATATCCATCTATGCTGATTAAAAGTCGAAATATTTGCCAATGAGGTAGGACAGGGTCGCCTACTTTCAGAAGTAAAATTAGGGAGAAAATGGTGGCTAAAATTTCATAACTTCCAGCTTGAGAATCCTTGGAAACTGCAAATTCACATTTTATGTACCCTTGATCAAATTTCCAAACTGGCTGAATAATGCCGATTTCTCGGCTTTCATTATTTTGACGAGCGCCTGATTTCACCACGACGCCTAACTTACTGTGTCGCAAGTGCAGCAAAACGTTTACTAAACTAAACTAACAACACCAACATTGTCATTGTTCCTGCTTCCTCAGGTTTCACGACGTTGCCTGGTCAAACCAAAGCTGACCAAAGTAATGAAAGAAGGACACGTAAAGCAGGTGAGGAGAAAGCGCCTAAACGACCTCAGGCAAGCGAGCAAGGGCACAGCCATCACCATAGTCACACAGAAAAACACTGAAGTCTCGAAGACAGCGACTAAGTCTGCTACAGCAAAGCCAGTCAATACCAAACTCAAACGAGGTGATTCTATGCAGCTTCCCCCTATCGGAGTGCCTCAGCTGACCTTCACACCGTCTACCCAAGGCAGTCACAGAGGTTTATAAAAATAATATTTAAAAAACCCAATTTATTACATTCGACAGAATCAACAGCCTAAAGTTTGAAATAGATGAACTTGGGGGAAGGTGTGGGGATGAAAGCCATTCCGCAATGGAAGTATAAAGATGTGCTTTAACAGCATTTTAAAAAGAAGTTTGTTCAATATTTTTAGACTTACTGAGAAGTTGTCGTCTTTATTTTCGATTTCGCTGTTGAGTGATGTCATGACAGACTAGAGTGTTACCTTCCATTTTCGCAAACAAGATACTGTGCAAGAAGCAAAATGTTGCTACGTCTCCTGTTTTTCTTCTTATCCTATACCCTTTTTTCATGTGACCATTATGATTCTCACGGCAATGTCGGGGGGAAGGACGAGTACTCCGTGTTACAAAGACTATGTCTATATCTTGTTAAGAATATGAAAAAAATGACGTTTAAACTAATAAAGGAGAAAAAAGAGCTTTGTTCTCAGTCACTCTTCGTCTCCCGTTATGCACGAACGACTGCACGAGTGTGTTGTGCACCGGTCTCTGGTAGACTTGTTTTTCTAGTTATGTAATATAATATTGTTAACTTAAGTAAATTAATGGATGTGTCGTCGTAATTAAGTGTGCATGTTTGCACCTTTCGACAAAGAGTGCATTCTCACCATTTATTTATACGTTTTATTTATAGCTGTAAAGCTCATTGAGCATGCTGCAGAGCGTGTTATTATTGTTAATATTATTATTATCATTATTATTATTATCATTATTATTATTTACCAATAATTATTATATTTATTTGGGTTAATAGAGATTCGGTGAGAATGAAAAGTGGGTTTACAAAAACGGCTGGAATGGAAAGCTCTAAAAGGTCCTACCAAGTTGGCGAGTTAAGACCGTGTGCTATTATTTCGACGGCTCCTCAAGGACCTTACAACATAACCTCCTGGTGGCTCCTTTAAACATTGTGTGAAATTATCTACCAGATGCGGGACCTTCGCTTAAATTTTCACTTCCGATAGAGCCCGGCCTGCGTGAGAACAGTAGTGATACCTCCCTAAGCATACCAAATCAAAGAAACACCACCTTGTCACAGATTCGAACCTGAACCCTCTTCGAACCAGAACCATCTTCATCATAGTCTAACATTAATACACCAGCGATGGTAGTGTAGCGGTAAGGCTCTTGGCCATTTCACGCTGAAGACCTAAGTTCGAATACAGTGTGAGGAGAATTTTTATCGAGTATCTCTGTCTTTATGCTGGGATGTTGCATCCCTCTCACCCCGGGTTAGCCCTGGCAGGGAGGGTGTCGACGCTCGCCTCCAAAATTATCTTTGTAAGAAAGACATTACAAAATGTATTTTAAAATTATGATACAAAAGGAGTTAACTGCAAGCCTACATAACGAATCTTGACTGAAGGATGGTCAAAACATGTTCGAAAACGGAAGTAAAATAAACAACAACAACACTTAAACTTAAATAGACAGCTAGACAAAAGGGTAATCACGCAAACTTCTCTTGCCTTGAAAAGAATGTTAAACAAAAGCAGGAAACGAAAGTCATTCCTCCAACTCCATAATATACACATGTGTCCACGAGGAATCCAAGAACACTGACAATGACAAGTTATTCAAACGTTTGATTTAAAATGTTTCCTAAATACTGTAATGTAATAGTGTGGCTGGCAGGCATTGTTCTGACATGTAAAAAAAATACAGAAAATGGGAGAGGAAAGGGTTTGGAGGGGGGGGGTGTCTCATTAACATAGATGAATGAAAACAATCCAACATGAGAAATTTCGTTTTGAGTGTTGTTGAATTAATGTATTTTTAAAGCAGAAAATAAGGAAATTGAAGGTTATACCTAACTATATTATGTACATGCATACATGAACGTATCTGTATCTGTGTTGAGCATTGTACAAAACTTGAGCCACTTGAAGTTTTACTGTTTTTTCCTTCCATTCCTCAAACACACATTTCTCAGCGAATCATTCAACGCATTTCTTAGACACATTAAGAGTACATTCGTGAAATATAATATGAATAAAAATGTATATAAAATATGAATATGAATTATGATCTCACACTTTCAATCTCCCC